AAGGCGATGCTTGCGAGAGACAGGCCAAAAGGCCTCGGCATGGAGCTGAACTGCCCTAGCTACAGAAAGTCATCCGATCAGAACAACCGATTCCGCCTGATTAGGTGTACGCCTCAACATATTTGATGGTTCGAGATGCATCATTTCGTTTACTAGAGCCGTCTTAATGTGATCTCTCAGCCCTACGACGCCCAAACACGCCATTTGGTTGGTTCGAAATGCGAGTTTTCTCGTCGACATATCCCTAACCGCCGGTCTCAGGCTGATGCAAAATTAGGCTGCCACTTAATAAATGTAAAATGTGATCTGCTGGATCATGTCTCTAACTTCTCGGGGGGTTGCTTGGGTTGGCGGGTTTGATTTACGGAAGCGACTCCGAAATTATTAGCAAGACATGCAATGGAATCAACTGCGACCGTCTATGTGCGCGTTTTGTCTATTTCTTATTGTTCATTCTCCTGACCTTGACAAAAGCTTTGATGTGTTCGGCCTTCAGCATAGGTTACTGTCGCTAACAGGCTAGCTGGCCTTCTCTACCATGTGTCATTGGATTTGGTTACTCGTGACGCGTCCTCCTACTCATAAGCTCTTTCGCTTTACTTGCAGATGATTGCCAAACACATTTGGATATGGTAGGTTTACACGGTTATCACTCATTTTATGCGGGGTAATTAGGTGGATTCCGAGATAACGGGCAGGCTTCGGCGACACCATCCGTCGGGGGTTTAAAAGAATCGGAGCGGGGTCCGATTTCCTGGTATGAACGCCGGTTACTGGAGTTGTTTAAAACCTTCTAAAAGGTACATTGACAATTCATCGTGGCTTCAGATTTCTTCTACTCAACTGTATTAGAGCGCCATTTCGTATTCTGCAACCAATCACAGCCAGGTTATCGACAGCCTGAACAGTCACAGCCATGCGATCTACTCGCACCATCACAGTGGTCGGATGTCACGCTGAGGGAGAGGTTGGCGACGTCATTACTGGCGGAGTTTTGGACGTGCCAGCGCCAACCATGTGGCACAAACTTCAATACTTTTTGACGCATAAGGACGACCTTCGACAACTGCTTCTGAACGAGCCCCGCGGACGGTCACCGAAAAATACGAACTTGATCCTGCCGCCATGCAACCCAGAAGCCGCTGCGGGATTCTTGATTATGGAGAGTGAGGAGTATGCGCCAATGTCCGGTTCAAACACAATCTGCACCGCGACCGTTCTATTGGAAACAGGGATGATCCCCATGCAGGAGCCGCTGACCAAATTCTCCCTCGACACGGCGGCAGGGCTGATCGGTGTCACCGCGGAGTGCCGAGACGGCAAATGCAAGAATGTGGCGTTTGACAATGTTCCCGCGTTCGTCGACAAGCTCGACCTGCGCGTTGAAGTCCCCGGAATCGGGATTGTTTCCGCGGACATCGCGTGGGGCGGCATGTGGTATGCCATCGTTGACGCCGCGTCAATTGGCCTTAGTATCGAGCCCAAGGAGGCAGCGAAGCTTGTTGAGCTTGGCGAAAGAATCAAGCAGACCATTCGTTCTATTTATACTCCTCGTCACCCTGAAAATCCGGAAATCGCTGGAGTGTCGGTCCTTTCATTCACCGAGCCTCTGCAAGACGGCGTCGGTGGGAAGGTTGCCAAGAACACTGTCGTTGTCTCGCCTGGCCGACTGGATCGAAGCCCTTGCGGAACAGGCACCTGCGCCCGCATGGCATTGCTTCATGCTCAGGGGCAACTTGCCGTCGGTGAGGACTTCAAGCATACTAGTGTCATTGACACGGCTTTTGAGTGCCGTATTAAGGAAACCGTCAAGGTTGGCGATCGAGATGCTATCATTCCAACTGTCAAGGGAAGAGCTTGGATTACAAGCTACAAGCAGGTTGTGTTGGATCCCGAGGATCCTTTTCCTACTGGCTACAGGGTTGGAGACCAGTGGCATGTATACGATGCGGCTCTGTGATTGAGCGAAAGAATTTTCACAGCATATCGAGACGCCTGGTCTCACCCTGCTTGCGTGTTCACCGACTTTGCTAGCTATGGAGCGTTCGACATTGAAAGCCTTACTGTGCCTGTACGACGCGACTTGCATGCTTTGGCTTTGAACTTTGCTTTTCCCGGCTCGCAGCCTCATTTTGCAAATTTTGTAGATTCATTTTCTCACGAGTCTTCTGACTCGATTCCGCGTGTGGTAGACTAGAGTCGCTTCAGCAATGTACCACTTACATGGCAAATTCTGAGGGACCGCCACTGTCTAACAAGTTGCAGCAGGCGAGTCCGGCGAGAACGCTCCGAAATCAGGAGGCGTGAAAACTGCATTGCAAGGATTCTACGATAATTGAACAGATAGCCGGCCGTTCAATTTGAAGTCTTTGAAAGAGCCGCATCTTCGGTTCTTAAGTACTACATTTGGCACTAGGCCTTGTTGGTTGTGCAGATTCCGAGCCGAATAGCATCGTGCTTCACCAACCGAGCCGAAATGTTTAGTGCCAAGTCCGGGGTAGATCTTCACTCAACCCCACCGGGGAACGGGGGTTGCCCGTGTTCACCTCCATTTTCCGACGAACGCTCCATCCAGTGACAGCGGCTCATCAAATTGAAAAGAGACTGGATCCGCTTTGTTCGATATGTTGAATAACGATCATATGCGTCTTTCCCTCACAGCGACCGAAGAGTGTGCGACAACCAGTATTCTGCAGTTGCGACGGTTAATCGCAGTCGTAACGAGTTGCAGGCCGACATTTGAGGTTTCCAAATTGGGGAATAAACGACTAAAAGATACTCGATCGATCATCCCAGAAACCAACAACTACCAGAACGTCAACATGGCCACATCAGCTCCGATTCCGGAAGATGCCAAAATCGATAGTCGCGTCGAGCATCTTGAAGGCCTCAATCGAGATCCCAAAGACAACCATACTCACGTTGACGGGAATGCTCTGCTTGTAAACAAGGATGGCGAAGTTCGACGGATTCCGGTGCCCTCTTCGGACCCGAACGATCCTTTGAATTTCAGAAAATGGGAGAAGTACGGTCTGGTGTTCTGCTGCTGTTGGTTCTCCAGCATGGGTCTGTCGATTGCAAGCGGACTCGGTGCCATCCTGAGCGTCTTCTTCCAGATGTACACTCCTCAAGGATACTCATCAGATGAGATTGTTCTTCTTATTACGATCCCAACTCTATGCATAGGCCTTGGTAAGTTGTCTTGGTTGTTTCTTCAGAAGGTCCAGAACCATTATGCAAGGGACAGTCATAGATCTGACATCAAATCACAGGAAACTACATCATTCTTCCCCTTTCGCTAGCCTACGGCAGACGCCCCGTCTTCCTTGGCTTCATGGTCATCCTTCTGATTGCCACTATTGCAGCTGCTCTGCAGAATAGCTACAACGGACATCTCGCCTCACGCATCGTCCAGGGCCTAGCTACTGGTGCCTCGGAATCCCTCCTCCCGCTCATGCTCACCGAAGTCACCTTCCTCCACGAACGGTCTCGGATATTCGGTCTATACTGGATGGCGCAGAATGCAATCTCGTCAACTATCAACCTTGCGTCGTCATACATCAACCACGACCTGGGTTGGCGATGGTATTACTGGGTTTTCGTCATAACTGTGGCTGTTGGTCTGGTTATTGCGTTCTTCTTTGCCTTCGAGACCCAGTTTACTCGCCCGCCCGAGTCTCTGGATGGTCAACTCGTCATTACGGACGAGTTTGGTGTCACCCGTGTCATCCCTGACTCGGAAGCGCAAGCATATCTCGAGGAGATGAGTCGCTCTGGACTCACGGCTCCGGGAGCTGGGAACGCCGCTGGTGCCATTGAGCGCAAGACCTATGCTCAGCGAATCAGACCTTGGTCTACACCCCATCCACAGCCTCTTCAAGTCATGTTGCTGAGCTGGAAACACATGGCCGAATCAATGTCCTCACCTGGAATCATCTACGCCGTTCTCACATCCTCCATCGCCTTAGGCTGCGGTGTGGGCATGAGTCTCACTTACAATACCGTGTTGATGGACAACTACCACTGGCAAGCGGCTGACATCGGCCTGATCAATGTCGGTGGCGTGATTGGCGCTGTGCTGGGTATGCTTTTCTGCACATTCATTGGCAACCCATTCGTGATGTGGCTTGCCCGCCGTAACCGAGGCGTGCACATTCCGGAGCATCATTTGGTCACAATGGTACCACCTGCAATCGTTGGCGTCGGTATGCTGTTGCTGTATGGTTACACTGCTGCTGGTGGGACGACCTGGTGGGGACCTTACATGGGCTGGACCATCTTTCAGTACTCATTCACCGCGATTATCATCATTTCCACGACGTTTGCTTCCGAGGCAGCTCCCAAACACCCCGGGCCTGCGTTGGTCGTAGTTGTCGGTACGAAGAATGTGGTGTCATTCGGCGTGACTTACGGGTTGACGCCAATGGTCGAGAGGTTCGGGTACCAGACTGCATTCGGCGTCCTCGCTGGGATCTTTGGTGTGATATTCCTTCTTGGAATCCCCGTGTACATAATCAACCCCAAGTGGCGTGCTTACATGTCTGAGAGGGATAGTCGAAACGGTCGCGTCGGAGCGCCTTGAATCGGGCGTGGTTCTGTGTACTCAGTACGCCCACACAGTCGCCTCAATACCCCCCAGCAAATACATTTGGAGTATTGGTAACAGACCTGAAACTTGATTAACAGACTATGTACCTCATGGCTGAGTGGTGCCTTGTCTATAGTCGATGTTCTGAAACCTTGACGGGCTCCGTCGGAGCCTAGTTGGCATGGGATGGCAAAAGGGAAAGTCCCTGCGTCCGGGCGTGGCATTAATACGTAGGTTTGAAGCACACTATCATTATTACTCCACAGGTTGTCTCCTGTTTCTTCCTGAATACGTTCGGATTATATGAAATGATGAGGACCTCATATCCTGACGCGATCAGCTACTTCACCAAAGGTCCAGTACAAGTTTGCTTCCATGACATCTTGACACGCAAGTCATGATTGTGGTTCCTTCAGCTCTTTCAGAAGGTGTGAGAACTGCGTCCCTGTGTTCGGGCAGCCCCTCTAAGACCCTGACCTCACAAGTTCCGCATAAGCCCTTGTTACAGGTGGACATTACTCCAGCTCCTGCATCATTGATGACATCTAGGATTGACCTATCCTCAGGAACTCGCAGAACCTTGCCGCTCCGGCCGAGAACAACATCAAACGCTGTGTTCTCTTTGCCAGAGTCCGAAGACATCGCAAACCGTTCCAGTCGCAAAACACCTGGTGGGGCATCTTTCAGGCTCTTTTCAACGTCTTCAAGAAGAGCCTCAGGGCCGCAGCAGTAAACCCGAAGGCCTTCCGTATCTAGCGATCGAATGTACCTGCTAACATCGAAGCGTTGTCCATGATGTTCATCAGTTATCCATGTGAAGCAGTTATTCGCATGCTTTTCGGTCATTGCTTCCACAAACGCCATTGAATCGCGCTTGCGGCCGAGATAGATGATTGTGTAGTCTTCCCCTCTGGCTTTTGCTTCCGCTGCCATTGGCTTGATAGGGGTGATTCCAATGCCTCCAGCAACGAACACAGTTCTTCGCGAACCTGGTTCGAAGGAAAAGTTGTTCCTTGGTCCGCGAACAATAAGCTCAAGATTCTGTTTCACACTGTTATGTATGAAGTGAGAAGCTCCGGTATCGTTCGTCTTCAATACAGCAAATGCCAGACTATCTCGCTCATCTGGGCTTGAGCAGATGGAGTATTGTCGAAAGCCAAATGGGCCTGCTTTGACGTCAATGTGGGCTCCAGGCGCCCAACGTGGTGTCCCAGAACCAGCGATGGGTCGCAGTGTTATTTGCATCACGTCTGTTGCGACCTGAAATATTTCGCTGACGGTCATCTTCTGGTCGTGTGGCCTGGCTGCCTTCTTTGTTGCCGAATTGCGCTGAACACGACTGTCAATGTCATGGTGAGTTGGAGGGTCCCAAGAGATCCGAACGGCTTCTGGGCCACGCCCTTCATGGACTTCGCTGTATTTGATCTCTTCGTACGGTGTCTCTAGTTTAAGCTGAGGAAGTCGCTCTCTGAGGACCTTGAGCTCCGTCCTCAGGAGGAGACGTGCAAAGGGGGCTCCTAAGCAAGCGTGGACGCCACGCCCAAAGCCGAGATGCTGCGTCTTGGAGTGTCTATCGATGTCGATTTCATCCGGATTCTCGAACTTGGTACTGTCGCGACTTCCAGAGTTGTATGCCACAAAAAGCTTATCTCCTGGCTGGAGGGTCATAGCCCCGAATTTGGTTTCCGTTGTGACTAGCCGTGGCATCCCTGTTATGGCCGACTCATAGCGAAGAAGTTCCTCAATGGCGGCTGATCTTGTCGCGTCGCTTTCTGATGCTCGCTCCCACAAGCCTTGATGGAGCAGGTGTGCCATCCCCATGGAAAGAACATTGGTCGTAGTCTCATGACCGGCAAGAAGAAGGCCTGGAATCATGCTCAAGTGCTCGAAGTCGGTCAATTCCACTACTCCAGCATCTCTTTCGTTCCAAATATGGCTGATAAGATCGTCTTTACGATGATTCCGTCTATCCTCGATGACGCCGGCGATGTATGCGTGCAAATCCAAGACATCTTGAACTCTTTGCTGAATGCTGAGTTCCTCTCCAGACTTGGTGATGCCGCCGAAGAGTGCAAGGCAACGTCCAATCCACTCCCATCTGGCTGGGTCGAGTCCTGCAACTACCACAATACATCTCAATGGTACAGGAACTGCAAATTGACTCCTGATCTCGACTGAGCCTGAATCAACGAATTTGTCAATCTGATCATGGGCAGCGGCGCGGAGCATCGGCTCAAATCGTTCCAGTCTACGTGGCACAAAAAAGGATGCGACGCTCTTTCTCAGCCGATCGTGGTCAGGGTTATCGTGTGCTAACAATGTGCCCTTGTCTGGTACTTTGTTGGCAAACAGATCCCGAACCATTGGCGGGAACTCTGGCACCGTCGGCCGAGAGCTGAAAAGTTCGGGTCTGTCGAGGACTGAGACGATATCATCGTATCGAGAAACAACGTAGCCACCGAGTGTCTCGCTGAATTGGAACCCTTCACTGTCTCGCGAAGAGGCTAGGTCAACGAAGAGTCGACGCGAGTCGCTGAAGGGACAAGCCATCGTATGTGGGTGACTGGCTCAGAGACAGTTGCACTCCGAAGGGTTGCGAATGCCAATGAGATTGGTCTCTTTTTAGTGGATTCGATCCCATATAATTGCCAGAGCTACTGTTGATGTCGTTTTTAAGAATGGATAGGGTAGCCAGGCGTTTGTCGGGTCGGTATCTATGCCTGTGTTTATGTGCTTGTACTGCAGCCCGTGCCGAACCTCGGCCCCCACCGAACCGACCGGCGTTTTCAGCCGGCCAGACAGCCATGCGAAATTTTGGTGAATTTTCCGTTGATATTCTCCTTTAATTCTCATCGAGACGGTCGTATTGGATTACAGCATCCCCGCTGATCATCTTGACCGGTTTCTCGGGCCCGGTTCTCGGGGCCCGGGAAGTTGACACGAAAGGATTGGGGGATGAGAACTCCCGACAGTGGTCAGATGTGATCTCAAGATGGCCAGGGATTGGTTCTTGTCGTTGTATGCGATGCCGTCTTGACGCGGCTCAAATTTGGATGTCCTGAACACATGGCGAGCTCTATGCCAAGAAGAAACTTTTGAGAATTATCAGTGACGTCCGATTAGATGTCCTGCGTTCTGCTTTGGGGGCCCTCGGTGTTCGCGATTTTGTGTGGACTGTGGGTATCAGTCGCGCCGCTACCGGCAGTGGGGGACCGATACTGGCCTCCGGCCTCCGGAGATGGAATTCGATGTCCATCTAGTTATATAAAATGTCCAAAACATTTCGATTCAGAATATCACCTATGGCTTTCGGTTCGGATTGAGGAGCCGTGCCTCAGGTTGTCTTTCGGCATCTACCCTTGTCTGCCGAACCGACCTGCAGGGGATTGCGTGGCTGCTTCAGCTCTGTAGACGTTCAAGTCAATTGGTATCAATTATTTTCCAGGGGCAGGCCCATCATGTGAGCAAAGTTGGTTTAGTGGTTTGATTGTCACAATATCAATCCGGTGGTTGGAGTAACTGCCTTCAACTTCTAAGATACACCATACATGCAGTGTCTTGGTGTTGAGCGCTGTTCAATCAGTGTCTCCACAGCAAGCACAATGCTCATCTTGATGTATTGCCTGCCATACGCAGTTGTAAACGGCAGGAGAGACCCCTGATCTCATTGGTGGTTCACCAGATTCAATTGCCGTTTGAGGCAGGATGCGGATCTTCGTCTTGGTTTGGAACAAATGCATGCGTAGACCAGGTCCATCTGCAGGCGCTGTGAGGAAGACATTGCATACTGCAGGTAAATGCAAATCACCTTCGGCTCATCATAGCTTGAGAAATACTTTCCGTTCATCGATTTTATGTGCTCATTTCCATTACATCATTAGGTGCTGTAGCAGTATCCTCCGTCGAGGTTTGAATTACTTGAGGCAGGTCCTTGACTTCCGGACAGCCCCATGCGTGTGCTGGAAGGCACAGAAGCTCCCTTGGCAATCCTGGGACCGGTACCAACTTCAAAGCCGACAGTCTTGACTCCAAATGGGCACATTTCGCAGATGTCAGTACGATCATGGGCACATAGCCGGCATCGCACATGAAGCTCGGTGACCGCCGGAACCCATCCAGAAATCCAGGATCTGTGACCCCAAGATCTTGCAACATCTCGACGAAGGTATCCATGTGCTTATCGTGATCATGGATCTCTGAGTCTAAAGCCATGTTCAACCACATCTTACAGGATTCGAAGCGACAGCGGAGAATGAACCGGAGGGTCTTGGTCAAGTTCTCTGTCGTCGGGGACTCTCTCCCAGGCGGGGACAGTGGACGAGCCTCAAAATCTTCCCTCAGCAGCTCCCACTGTTCTAGCAATCGTCTGATATGGCTTTGCTCGGTTAACAATTCTGGGGGCGGTGACCCATTCGTTTCTGGACGAATGCGATACGGATCGCCTTGTCGCACGAGTCGAAGCGTCCGGCTAAAGACATCATCGATCATGGCCTGGGCATCGGCGAAGTTGAAGAATCCATCAGGCATGGGATGCTCTAGACCATCTAGATCCGGGAAATCTGACGGATCATCTGCCCATATGAATGAGGTGGCAGCGACTCTTCGGAATAGAGGCAAAAGATACTGCTTTGTCCAGGCGTATTCGAATGTGGTGTGCTTGAGAAGGGCAAACCCGTGCTTGCAGTGCTGAATGACCATCTTGCGATTATCCTGCAGGACATCGATGCAGATAAAGAGGATGCACACAAGCAGCACCACTGGATGTGTTTCTGGTGACTTCAGCTTCCTAATGTCGTTGATCGCAGCATTGTAATGATGAAGTGCGAACTCTTGATCCTGGATTCGGACCAACGGGCCACAAGTGCCGCCGTGTAGTTGCTCGGTGAGAGTGCTGATGGCTAAGACGGCGTGTCGAGCAGCAGGCTCGTAGCTAGTGAATTGCATGACGAGTTTCGACATGAAAAGGGGGTCTACCGCGCCTGACAGTTGCGGGCCAGCTTCTTGACAGAAGTACTGCAAAGCTCGGCTCTCTCCAGCGGTCCTTATCCCTGGAAATCCTTCTGGCCGATACAAGCGAAGAGCCGAGTTTGTATGTCTTGCTGACATGCTGCCAATGGGCAAGTAGCCGTCGCAGTGGCGGCCGGTGGCCATACAACGGTTGCATGCCGGCTTCGTCTCGTCGCACTTGACTTTGCGAATTCTAGCAACCATTAGACCGGAGCCCCTTACGAGTGTCTCGCATCGTCACGAAGAAGGCATCTCGGTGTGGTGACAGACGGCGGCCGCCCAGGCACACTCACTTGCAGGTAATGCATCCCGTTCTGGTTTTCCGGCTGCCTTTCCGAGCCATCGCTTGTGGCCGCCCCGGTGTGTGGAGGCAGCAGAAACCCACAAGTCAGCCTCCAATGTTTAGGTTTTGCCGAGAGATTGTTCGTCAGAGTAAGCCACCTGCGCGTCTGACACCTCCTGAGGGGGCAAAGGAGGCACAACCTAGCTGCAGTGTGGTGAGAGACATTGAGAGCCAGAGCTTCGAAGCGGAGAAGAAGAAAAGCCAGGACGAGCTGGTGCGCTTTCTCCCACAACCCCTGTCAGGAGCCACTGCGGGACTACCAGGGTCTAGTCCGAACTAGCCAATGTGAGCATGAGCCTTTGTTGCAACCACTATCCTCGTGGTGGTCAAGGTTGTGATAGGCTGAGCTGATGAACGGCAGATATAATCAGAATTAAGAGCAAGCATGCCGACTGTTGGTTGATCACTCGGCCGAGATGGCTCTGCATGGGATTATCAGCAAGACACTGTTCCTTTGTCCCAAGATTTCTTGCTTGAGAAGTTGAATAGTGAGAGGAGTAGTCTCAAACCTTGAACAACGTTCGAGAGACGTATGGAATTTTCTGTTGAAGATACTTTAGCACGGCGCATGATAGCTTGGGGGGCCATATTTCTTATGTTCCTCGGGGACTACGGATCATTCGGCACGACACGTCCTTAAGTCCGCCAGGCAGCAACATTTCGATATCTTGATCTTGAGAGCCGCGACTACTACACTTTCGGCAAATGTTGACAAAATAAATCGAGGCTAATTTATTGTATGATTACCTCTGCGGAAATGGTCCGTCACTGAGCCAGTACGGCCAGAAGTCAAGAGTTCCGCAAGTCAATGAGCGTTTGTCTAACTCTTGAGAGTTGAACAACGTCAGTCAATTTATTCACTTCCACATCAACCAGATTATTTGGCTCCAAAATCGACCCCCAGGTCGCGTATTACACAAGCCGACTTGTGCTAGGATCCAGAAGCCCGGGAACCCCGGCACGTATTTCTTGGTCGAGCTGCTGCTTTTCAAATAATCCTTAATTTTTCAATCATTGCTGACTTCAGTTACTACACACAGATATGTGAATTCATGATGTTGAATGCACTCAATCACCTTCTTATCATGAGATCGATGAGTTCCCCTCCCCAGTGAGTGAGTGTTCGTGTGAGTGCCCGTGCTTGGGCAGAGGTGGGGCATACCTCGGTCGGATGACTAAGCCAGCTTTACGCGTTCCGCGCCTGCGACTTCAGCGCGTCACTGCGTGGTGCGGCCAGTCCGTCCGGTCCCTCCTTCCCGAATTGGCACACCATCGACCGTTCCCGAACCCACCCACGCCGGCTGCACGATCTAACACGACCTTACCTGGATCGGTTCGTAACTCGATTGTATCTCAGCGATCTAGGCCCACGCAGCAATGGACGACGACTTTGGGTTTGACTCTGCAGATGAGGCAGATCTCCTCGCCGTTGCCGACGGCGTCCCTCCCAGCACCAAGCGGGCTCCAGATGACGGAGACGATGCCATTGAAGAGCCTGCCTCCAAGAAGCACCGATCTGGATCACAGACATCAGAGCTTGCCCAGAAAGTACTAAGGGAGAGATTCGATCTGAACGCTTTTCGTCTCGAGCAAGAGGCGGCGATCAGTCGAATCATTGGTGGCGAAAGTGCTGTAGTGGTCTTTCCTACCGGCGGAGGCAAGAGTTTGTGCTATCAGGTACGCATTTCCACGGCTAGTAGCACATGTCCATCGTTTCTGATGATCACCAGGTCCCAGCTGTCGCTATCAAAGAGCTTGACCGTCAGACAAATTCCAGAAGCCCCGAGGAGAGTGGAGTTACTGTGGTCATCTCTCCTCTGATCGCATTGATGAAGGACCAGGTTGATGCCCTCCGACGAAGAGGTATCAGTGCTGCAGTCCTTGATTCGACACAGACTCGTGAAACCTTCGTCGATATTCACCAAAAGCTCTCGTGTGGGAAGCTCGATCTGTTGTATTGTGCCCCGGAGCGTTTGAATAACGAGGGATTCCTCGCCTCGCTACAGGCCATCCGCGGCGGCATCCGACTTCTGGCCATCGACGAAGCTCACTGTATCTCAGAGGTACTGTCATCGATACTTATTCCGTTTCTTGACCGTATGCGCTGACAAGGACGTAGTGGGGTCATTCTTTCCGGCCAGACTACCTCAAGAGTGAGTTCCATCCAGATCATCAATGTGTGCATCTATTTCTTACCAAAAGCTGCAGTTGCTCGGTTCGCCAAGGAAGCCAATGTCGAACGAGTGGTTTGCCTCACCGCGACCGCCACGGCGGCTGTCGCAAAGGATATTCGCGACACATTCAACATCCCCCCAGAAGGCCTCTTCGTCACAAGCATGTATCGCTCAAAGTTTGTGCCCGTCTGGTTCATCTCCCTGAGAAGCAAGTCTAACACGTCCAGCCTCAATCTTTGTGTTCAAGCTATCAACGAGAAGGATGATCAGGTGAAGATCTGCACCAGCTTTTTAAAGGAACACCCGGGTCCGTCAATCATCTATGTTACAACACACGCAGTAGGTTTGCCGAATTCGCGAACAGGACTGGGCTGATCACACGGGTACTCAAGGGTACTGAAAGCCTGTCCAAGTCGCTGGTTGCCAAAGGCTTCAAGGCGAAGCCGTATCACGCAGGGCTGGACAAGGACGTGCGATCCGACATCCAAGACAAATTTCTACGCAGTACCGACATGATTGTGAGTTATGGGAATGAAGGAAGCATGTCCCAGATTAATGTTCTAACCCTGTTTCCTTGCAGATTGTTGGCACGATTGCCTTCGGTATGGGAATCGACAAAGAGAACGTACGGACTATCATCCACTTTGACCTTCCCAGCAGCATCGAAGCGTACAGCCAACAGATTGGAAGAGCCGGCCGAGACGGTAAACCAAGTACATGCATGCTGTATCTCTCAGACAAGGACTTCTTCCTAAGGAACGTGCTCGTGCATGGAGAACGCCCCTCGAGACTGGCTCTACGCGCGTTATTCGAGGAGATTTGCGATGAAGAGCACTGTCGGCTTTCTCCTGGCGAGACGTTTTCCGTGGGGATCACCATGCAGTCCAAACGAGTTGATATCAAGGTTTGAACCATCGTCCTTGAGCAGGCAACCGTCACTAACGACCAGCAGGAGACGCAATTATCCATCATTTACGCTTACCTGGAGCTCAAGTTCGGCCTACTTCGAGCAGGAACGCCGCAATACTCCGAATACAAGTATCAGGTGCTGCAGCGACAAGAGTACAACGACGATGATACACCAGCAGCAAAAGCGATACGCCGGGGATCCCGAACGGCGAAAATATGGACATTCATCGAGATTGATGATGTTGCGGATGGCAAGCACCTGTACCGAGGCGACATCACAAGAAAATTGGACCATTGGGCCGAATCCGGGGTCGTCAAGCTCCAAAAGTCTGGCGTCCAGAACGTTTTCCGACTCAAGAAGGCGCTGCCCAAGAGCCAGCCGGAGATCGACGCAATGATCGATAACATCGATCAGGAAATCATCAAGAAGGAAAAGCAAGATCTCCAGCGGGTCCAGGATCTCGTCAACCTGTTGACAGGTACAAAATGCATCACGCGCGCCCTGGCGGCCTACTTTGCCGATACCACTCACGCATCGGTCGAGGAGTGCGGGCACTGCACCTGGTGCGAGACGCACAAGCAGGTGGTCCTGCCCGAGTTCAAGCCGAAGCCGCTTGACAAGGATCTCATGAAGAGCATCGCAAGCGTCTGCAAAGCCCTCTGCAGCGATGAGGCACGGAAAGCGAAGTCGAGCAAGACGCCCTCCGCCACCAAGCAGGCTTTGGCCAACAGTACCGCGAAGAACGATCCACGATTCATGGCGTGCGTGGCCTTTGGTATCAAAACGCCGCGCATCAGCAGCATGCAACTATGGAAGAACGAAGCTGTCTTTGAGAGAATGAGCGATTGTGATTTTGATGTAAGTTCATGATTCTGGTCACTTGGATGGCGGCAACGCTGACATGGTGGCAGGAACTTGTAGCCGCTTTCGAAAAGATGATCAAATGATGGATCACAAGACTTTGACCGCTGCACCGAAATGGAGAGACGAAAGTTGCTTTTGACCCTGTTTCTGGGCGTTTAGAATTTGGCTGTCAACGTGTTTTTCCCGGGTAAGAGACCTGTCCGATTGCTGGGCGCACTAAGAAGTAGAGGGAGCGAATGATCAGCACTACAGTGCACAGGGCGGTTTAGAAAAGGTAGAATATTGGCAGGGCGCACAGCTCAAGTTGCATTTTAGTTGAAGAGTTGATGACGATCGTTGCCAATTGAGTTGAGCAATGTTCAGAGCGAAGAGTTCCAATTTTCTGTATTGAAATGTGGAACTAACGAGTTGCAGAAGCTCCTCACAACACAGTTGATTGAGTCTCCAGATCAAAAGGCAAAGTTCCTTATCGCGCAAATAACTGAGTCGTCGGAACACGAAACAACGCACGATAAGGCGAGGACCCTTGCATTCCGTTCCGAGACGCTAATTTCGCCCCGGAGGCGGCGAGTCGGGTGCCCCCTTGCCTTTTTCAGCCAGCTGCCGCTGCGTCTGCCCCCTTTGACCTTTCCGTTTCCGGCAGGAAGGCAGACGACAAAAATATTTCCTCCCCGTCCGCCGCCCCCTTCTCTCCCGCAGCCGTCACAAGAAAAGACCGCCCCGATTCCCCAATGTTCACCGTCCGGCAGGCCGCCGGCAAAGGCCTCGGCGTCTTCGCCGCAAAGCCCATCCCCCGGGGCCAGCGGGTCCTCGCAGACCGGGCCCTGCTCACCCTCCTCCCCTCCGAGACCAGCGCCAACATTCTCCGGCAGGCGCACGCGCTCCCGACGGCCGGCCAGAAGTCGCTGCTGTCGCTGTCGCTCAACCCCGGCAAGGCCGGCGTGCTGAGCTGGGCGGAGTCGCTGTGGCAGAGCATGACCAGCCCCGGGCGGACGGTGCTCAACCACACCATCCTCAACATCTTCCGCAACAACAACTTCAACATCGGCAACGAGACGCAGGCGCTGTTCCCGCAGGTCGCGCGGCTGAATCACTCGTGCGTGCCAAACGCGCAGGGCAACTTCAACAAGAAGCTGGACGCCTTCACGGTCCATGCGACGCGGGACATCAAGCCGGAGGAGGAGATCACCATCTCTTATCTGGATGAGCACCTCGGGCTGCGGCAGGCGAGGCAGGACCACCTCCAGGATGGCTACGGGTTTCTTTGTGATTGCTCGGCGTGCGATCCCAAGACGTCTGAGGCTGGAGAGGCGAGGCGCGCGGAGATTGCGGCCAAGTTGCAGCAGTTTGCGGAGGCTGCGTCGGAGGACCCGAGGGCTGAGTTTGAGTTGATGCTGGCGTTGGTGAAGGCGTACGATATGGAGGGCATTCGGGGCCGGGAGGCTGCGACAATGCACATTGCCGCTGCGCGCATGGCGGCCAAGCTCGGGGAAGCAGCGCAAACGCGCGATCTGGCGTTAAAGGGGTTGCAGCTTGAGGAGGAGGCTGTCGGGAAGGACAGTCAGTTTTACACCTCGACGAAGAAGGACGTCCAGGGACTAGGTGTTAATGTCGATGCTTGATCGGCTTGGTCTGTATTAGATGGTGTATAGAGTTAGAGAGCGACATCATTTATACCCCCATTTCCACAACCTTGACTTTGTTGTCAGATCTACCTCGCTTCCCGTATCAACACCACAAGTGTCGCTTCCAATCTGGACCAAGATGGACACCTGGGACAACCACAACTGGGACAACCAGCTAGCGTACTTTAACTCCATTTCCTAATGCGCCAAAATCCTGTTTGCCCCAGACCTCATCGTCAGAGCCCTCACCAGCCGAGCCTACGCCCACAAAAGACACGCCTTTGAATTCTTCGCCGTCACCATGGTCTCGGCGGCGACATTTCCCACTTCATCGCTTTCATGCACCCGCCCAGTACGCAAGTTGACACGGCAGACAACGCCATCACGCGCTCAATGAAAACTTGACAAGCAATCCCTAGAGTCGCGCTTCACCACCAAAGCCTCGTTCCTGCTCACCTTGGGCCACGGACTGACGATGTTCCGCGAGGACTTCTGCCACGGCGGCGCAATGGCGACCATTCTTGGCGAGTGCAACGGAGCGCTAGCGCTGGCGACCAGGATGTAAGGCCTGATGAAGCCGCTCGTGCACGTCACCCACTCGAGTCGAAGAAACGTACTTATTTTCCATGCTGTCACTTGCTCGGGCTTGGCGGGTTCACAAGCACATCCAGCGCGAAGTATGCAAAGGTCTGGGCATTCTTCAGTCTTTCGACGCTAGAGAGCTTCTCACAGCTAAGTTGTCTGGTAGTTAGCATGGCTCAGGCTCTATTATTATGTTCTCGGATAACTCCCTCAAGAGAGTAACTTACTCTGCAACCGGATACGCGTGGTCAGCGCAACGATTGGGTTTGCCAACTATAGCATCAAGATGCTGCATTTCATGAAGCAGTGCGAAGCCTGCTGACGTTTGCAAGTCGCCTTCTTTCCAATCACGCCAGTTGACAAGCATCTGCGAGTGGCTGACCTGGCGGAAAAAGGGGGGGCAGAGACGCAGCACGTTGTTGTCGTAGACTTCGCCGGCATTGAGCATGCCGGCGATCGGCTCTGTCCCTGCATATGGGTTCGGCTCGCACACGGGATGCTCCGAATCGGGGCAGGAAAACACCAGTCTTGATTTGTCAGGGCCGCCTTCGTCTTCAGACTTGACTGTTCCTGATTCGGGTGCTCGCAGTCCCGAAATGACAGCTTCGTAATTGTTTGCCTTGATGGACGCGAGGGTGTTTTCGTTCGTGTTGTTGTCCAAATTACGCATAGAATTAGTTCCGTCCCAGTCAGAGCGCATTGGCAAGATTTTTGGTAGAAAAATAACCTCAGAATGAGACGAAATGAGGTAATAGGTTATGCGACGACTTACCACCAAACCAGCGCCGATACGCCACCCCCGACGTCCCTGCATCCTCCAAGGCCGTCATGGCAGCCTTGGCTAGAATTTTGGCGTACTCTACTGCAGGCTCGATTTGGTCGATTTGCTCCTGAGTGCACGACGATTCGGTTCCGTACCCTTTCATAACCCAGCTCGTCAAGGCGCGTTCATGGATGCGTGCGGAATGACCCACGCCGGGGAAGCCTGGGACTGCGAAGACATGCCAAGAATGCAAAGTTGAGAGAATGAAAAGCGTGGCAACGTGCACTGAATGATTCATACTGGGTAGGTAAAGACTGTGATGTTTGTGATTACTGATGTCCGAAAGATGTTAGGGTATGGCGAGGGATACAGGAGATTCAACCCATTTCTTATACAATACGGCCCCTGAATGAGTGTAAAAAGGCTAGGCATCTGTGAGAGTAAGCCACAAAGAAGCATAAATCACGATCGAGATATCTCGCGCGAATTCAACACATTCAGTACTAGGGTCCTGAAGAGATATTAATTTATTTGTCCACGTTACGGACTTGCCATGAAGAAGCATGACTCTTATGCTTTTCTTTTGACACACTTATTGCAATTACTATTCAGTAATCGTTTGCTCTCCCACCGGCCTGGCGGAGCTCCGCATTCTGCCCTCGCATGGAACCAACCGTCGCCGGCGAGCGGGTTACTCATCAACCAGGGCTCCGGTTTGGTCTCGCATGGGACATAGGTGCCCGAGAATTATATCCATGTATGACCACGGATGCACCCATGACCCCTAAAAATAGTTGTGGTGGTATCCGAATGCTTCGTCTTCCTCGCATGGCCACGGTGCTCTGGGCGATGTCGGAGTTTTCCGAGCCAAGGGCAGCACCCTCGCGTCAACGCCAGGGTGGTGTCGAGGGTATCGCGAGTCATGATGAACCCTTTTTCCGGTAGGGCGTTTTTTCTTTCCCGTTCTTCGCGCTGGATGGTTGTTGGTGTACAGTCCGTTGCACTAACAGCGACCGCCCCCCTTTTTTTCCCCGCTTATGCAAAAACATGAAAAAAAGCCTATTTTATGCTATAACGCGTGTTTTTCTATATCGCACGTAAAGCGCGCTAAATCTATCGCTAATACCTTAATTACTATTAATTACTATAGTTATAGTAGTATTTAAATATATAACTATATAATAGAGATATAAAATATATATCTAATATCTCTAGAGTAATTAATTTATTTATAGAGATATTATTAATTTAATTAGTTATTTTATTTTTATATTAATTAATTAGTAAAAAGTATATTTTATTTTTATAAGATATTACGATAATATTTACTAAAGAATAAAAGAAAAACCTTATTAAATAACTTTATATATTTATTAAGTATATAATTTACATAGTTTTTAGTAATATAAAAATATATTAAAAAGCTTAATATAGTTTTTTAAAATAAATAGTTTTAATAGTTAATAAGAGTAATAACTTTTTAAATAGCTTAATTTATTTATAATTAAAAGTTTATTATTATATAGATTATATTTAATTATTAATTATGTATTACTAATTAGTATATACTTATAGTTTATTGTATTAAGTATATTAAAAACATATTAAATAATAATAATAATATAATAATATTTAGAATATTAAATCTATAGCCATTAATACTTATAATAATATTACTATTTAAAAACTAAAAGATTTATAGACTAATAATATTATTAGCTATACTAAATAAATAATTTAATAATATAGATTATAATATAATCTTATTAATAAAATATAGAGATATAAAAAATACTATTAAAAATTAATAAAAAATAGAAGTATAATATTATGTAAAACTTTTTAAACTATTATATTATTATAGTAATCTATTTTTTAAAAATATATAAGATTTCTTATTTTAAACTTTTAAAATCTAAATTTATTATTTTATAATTAGTTAATACTTAAACTTATTTAGTTACATAAATTAAAGTTTATAATTATTATTATTCAATAAAATAATAAATTATAATATAAATACCTATATTATATATAATAATATCGCTCTAACCAGCTAGTATTTATTAATACATTTAGCGTTCATAAGGATATTAGAATATAGAGGACTAAATAAATACTAAAATCTTTTATTATATTTTAAACTATAGAGATTAATTAGTTTTAAAACTTTTATATATAAATCTTATTAGGTTTTATATTAAATAATATCTTATATTTAACTATATTTTATAATATAACTAAGAATAATAGCTTTTTTTATTAGTTATTGAAATATTTAATCTTGAAATATAAATACTTTCTAAAATTAAACTTTATTATTATTATAAATAACTTCTTTTATTATTATATACCTTAAATTAAAGATTCATACTAAATATTAAATATTAATCTTAAGTTTTATTTCTATTTTTTTAAACTTTAACCTTATTAAAAAGTATTTTAGTAATTTAAAGTAATATATTAAGAAAAGTATATTTAAAATAGACTAATAATAAAAATATTATTTAGGATTTTATAGAATATCTATATGACTATACTATAGAGATTAAATATTATCTATTTTAGATTAAAAGCTATTTCTATTATTTATTTATTAATTTTAATAAAATAGAGTATATATTTAATAATATTAAACTATAAAAAGAGGATAAGCTACAAATATTAATATTAATAAATAATCTAAATCTTTATTACATAATTATAATAAATCTTAATTATATTATTATAAAATAGATAATTATTAGAACTATAATTATAGCTAGTAAAATTATAGAACGTTTAATTATACGTATATTAGAATATTCAAAATATATTGTTATTTATTGTTTTTATTAATAGCTATATATATATATATATATATATTCATTTATTTATATAGTAGTTAAAATATATTATTAATATTTATAGTAATAATCTATAATAATAATATATTACTGTAGTTTATAGTTAGGGATTTTGATTATAGTTAGAGATAGTAATTATAATTAACTAAGAAGTATTAACATAGATTATATTATTTATAAATGTAAAATTATAGTAATTTTATTATTTATATATACATAAAATAATAATATTAAATTTATAGCTATAAATAGATTTTTCTATGGTTAAATATATTATATAAAACATCATGTATATAGTTAAACTTTATATTATTTTTACTATAGTGATTTGTTTTATCCTCCTCTAAATAATATGTGTCTATTAATAATATATCACTTAAGATTTTAATCTAATTATCTTTATTATTTAGTTTAACTTTGTTTTATTTAACTTCTAACTATATAGATTGTACTTACAATATTAATAATAATAGTAATGAAATAAAATTAAAGAGTTTTAAAATGCTTATAAAGTTAGCTATGTTTAATAATAAATAGCTTTATTTATATTTATTATGTTAACTAATTTTAATTAATATATCATAGATCTTTTATTTCATAGATTAGTATAATATTAAGGTATTAATATATTAAGATAACTTTAACTTACTTAAAACTAACGCTATAAAGTTTTTAGTTAGTATTACTAGTATTCTGCTAAGTAATCTAATATACATTCTTATATAAATATCTTGTTTTTAAATTTAAATGATATAAATAAAAGTTAAAATAAGATATCATATTAGAGAGGGTGTTAAACTGCTTTTTATAGTAAGTATTATTATTTATAAAAGGTTTACTTAAGTTTTTAATATTTTTAGTAAATTTTTAAATAAACCCTTATTTAGGAAACTAAATATCCAGTAATTTATAAACTACTTATAAGCTACTATCTAATAATTATAGTTTATATAACTTCTTTTTAAACTTTTTATTAACATTATATTACTTATTATAAATAGATATAAACTACTTAATAAAGCTAGCTATTTAATTTAAAGCTTTTTAAAGTGAATTTGAATTATTAGTAAGGATAAATAAATTAAAAATATGATATTCAGTTAATAAATATTTAGAAGATTTAATAGTAAAGAAATTAGTAATAAATATTATAAATAATTTGTATATAGCTAATATATTAATAATAATAATACTAATAATAATAGCTATATATATAAATTAGAATACTAAAAATCATAATTTAATACTTTTATATTATTATATATATTAATAATAATATTATTTTTAGTATTAGTTAAACTAGATCTAAACTTTAATAATAGAAATATAGTATTTTTAGCTTTCTCTTCTATTATTATTATTATCTTGTAATTATTATTAATCTTAGTAATATGTTTATTTCTTTTATTTTAGCGATTTTAATTTTTAATAAACTACTTAAAAAAAGATCTTATTAAGTAGTTCTTTAAATAGTTCTATATTATTAATATTAATTCATTTAATTATAATAAGTTTTATTTATTTCTCTTTATAATAAGATTTAATTTCATAGTATTTCTAGCTTAATATATAATATTAATTAAACTTTTTATTACTTAAATTATTCTTATATTTATAGTATTTTAAGTAGATATATGTATAGAGAAGTTATCTATATATACTTTTTTTCTAATATTTAATATTTATAAAATTATTAAGCTTATAATTAATTAGTTTTTATATACTAGCTAAAATGTTTGTTTAATTATTCTTTAAAAATATTTATGTATTAGTTATTATCCTGTTAGAGATTAATATAGCACTATACTACTACTTAATAGTAAAATAGATTTTATTTCTCTTTTTAGTTTATTTAAGAGAGATAATAATATTAACTTATAAAATATTTAGCTAAATAATCCCTCTAATAAATAGATATATCTAAATAAAGATTAATATTAATTTAGATATATTAATTAGCTTATTCTGAATAATAATAATAATATTGGCTTTTTTTTAGATTATATAAATAAAAGTCAATTAACTTTTTATGCTATTATTTAATTAATTTATTATTATTATAGCTATATACTTAGTATATGTTTAGTTTAT